GGGAGGGGAGTATTAGAGGTGTAGCATTGGCGCTTTTCGTCTTTTGTATGCGTGGTAGTACGTGAGGGAGAAAGCGGAGTTGTACCTCCCTCTTTCGTGTCCCTTTGAGCCATTAGGGGGTAGGAAGTCTCGAGGGTAATGCGTCTCAAGAGGATATACGCACGGGTTAAGAAGATAATAGGTTTTTTAAAGTTGACTCCAAAGGGAGGGATACCAGAGCGGTAAGTGTTCACGGAAAATGCCCCAGGGGGCCGTTTGGGGAGGGGGCTATGGATATCACTTCCCGGTTCTGGACAATATCTTTTTTACCGGTAAATTTAGTTTAGGGAATTAAAGAGTAAAAGCTCGCGGGGTAATATGGGGAAGGTAATCCGTAAACGTATTGCGGAAGAAACTTTCCCGATTTTTGGGAGCCCGGAGGAGGAATGCTCTGGGTTCTTTAACTAAGGGGGAAGGGGTATGGGGCCCGATTATTAAAGTTTGTTATGTCCGGATTCCATTGAGGGGGGAGGGGATTTCAGTAAAAAGTGTTTAGCGTGGGGCTTACGGGTTCCAGGTTAAGGGTTTAACGGGCCGCGTCGAAGGTTGAACGTTATCGGTTGAGGGTATTGCTTTTCGGTTAACCGTACCCCTGTACTCTTTTCCGGAATGCGGTTGGAAGTAAACCGTTCCCGGTACCCCGCAATCCGCACCCCGCACCCGGCACCCCGCATCCCGCACCCCGCACCCCGCACAACCCACCCCGCACAACCCATATCTCATGTGCTTCATGGTGATCCGAGCTTTGATTCCCTCAATTTGTATTCCGCCTTACGCTCGCACAATGCAGACCGCGCTAGGCAAGAAGCTTGCGGCTATCGAAGCCCTCCAGGCGCGACGTGACCAGGAGCTAAGCGCTGCGTGGGAGGATTACACGGAGATGTACAACAGGGCTGCCGCCGCGAAGCAGGTAAACAGCAGCATGTATGGAAGGCCCTGTGCGAGTTTGGGGGGGGGGGTTGGGGCCTTCCGGACATCACCCGGAGTCGTTGGCGTGTTGTGCCGATACCCGGAGAGCATATGTATGCATGCGTGAAAACGCTCGCTTGGCCCTCGGCAGGACCGAAACAAGGCCAATGTCGCAATAGGAGCTTCTATCAATGAAATTAGATGGATGGTTTACTTAGGGTTTGCAATGGACCCAATGTTTATAAAGTGTATATAGCGGACGGCCACTACCACAGGGGTATTCGGGTCGCTCTGGGCGGTGCGTTCCTGATGGGGGACAATGGGCGGGAGGCAGGGAGGGCGGGAGGCAGGGAGGGCGGGAGAGCCGTGCCGCAGCTACAGAGGCATCTCGTGTGCCTGCCTGCCTGCCTACTCGCCTGCCTGCCTGCCTGTCGGTGTGTCTGTCATTCAGGAATTGGGCGCTCTGTTAGAGAAGAAGCGACAGGACCTGCAGCGGCGGGTGGATGCGCTTTCCCAGTCGGCGGCGGCGCAGTTGGCTGAAGCAGCGCGGCGGGCGGAGCAGGCGCGCAAGGGCGCCTCCCGGATGCCCGAGTTGCAGGGACTGCTGGCACACCTGGAAGCGGCGTAATAGTTGGCGGGGCCGCAGGTTGAACCCTGCGCATTGGCGGATCGCTGTATTCGCATACGTGTTTGGGAAGTGGGGTGGGATTAGGGACCCGCCTGTCCCCACGAGACAATCGGCACCAGGGCTAGGGTCACTGTCGCATGCGCAATTCTGCAAGGGGAAGCACGTTAGACTTCAAGAGACACACTGACCGCTGGCCCATACGTGGCCGACGGCCCTTGTGCTGAGGCGCGAGTAGCGCCTCCTCGTGTATAGCATCGTGTCCAGCATCGTCAAGAACCTGCTGAAGAAGCTGCTGCAGCGAAATGGAATTGAGGGTTTTGTGGCCGCCGGCCCTGGCCCGGTTTTGCTTGATGCCAAGTGAAACGAGAGTCGTCTGCACGTCATGGCGGATGACGTCAGTGATGATGCAAGGCTGCAAAAAGGACTTTTGCTTGGGCGATGATGTGACAGCGAGTCCAGGAGCATGCGGTGATGCAAGCTAGGGGGCCGGCCGCGCGCGAGAGGAAGCAATGCAGGTTAGGTGTTTCAGCGTGAATACCCGGGGGAGCCCCATACAGGGGGTGAGCGCATGGATGGCACATGGAATGAAAAATGAAATGGGATGAAAAGATGTGAAAATTCGGTGCGTGTGCATGGCGGGTGATGTGTTGGTGTTTGTGGTTGCTGAGAGGGGGGCAGTGTGTGGGGGATATGTGCATCTCTGCTTGAGAGGTCGCAGCTATGGAGCTGGAAAGCTTTCAAGTTGAGATGGCAGGCTAACGGTGTCGGCGCGAACGGATCGGCGTCGCCGCCTCCGCGATAACTCGCACTTTGACGAAGACGCTGCTCATGGAGACATATGCATGGTTGAAGCGACTATAAAAGCTTTGTTAAGCATGCGGTGGATGCTTTGAGGACGGCTCAAGTTTCTGTTGCACACCTACGTTTTTGTTGCAAAGGCGGAACCTGTAAGACCCATACCAGTACCAGCTCCTCGCTTTGCTGGTTCAGCACAGTACGGCGGAAAGTTCTTTCCTCAGGTTGGCGGCATTATATGACTCACATTATCCGTGGCAGCTAAGTGATATGAGTATGAGTGGTGCAAAACGCGCCTCCGTATGGCGGGGGACACAGGCTAGGTGGAATGTAGGAGGACAGAGATATAGGTGCATCCACACAACCGCCTGGCAAGGAGAGGCACGCATCTCCGCCTGAGCAAGGTATCCTGGCGGCCAATATTCGGGATGTCGCTCGGGCAAGGAATGCCTATGGTGTAGGTAACCCGGAGCCGTCACGGAGTGAAGGCAGGGGGGCATTTAAAATTGAGGAGGGAGGCAAGACGACGCCACAATGAGGCGGGAAACTGTTTGTCTTCTCACAGCAGACGCGTGCACCTCGTCGGCAGCTCTCGACAAAGATGAAATTGGACGCGGGAATCCCAAGGCTTGGCCGATGGATTGCAAACGCAGCGGCCGAGAGGCTGGCGCGTTATGCCGGGGTGAGTTAGGGTTCCTAAGTCCCCTGCATACCCCGACAACCTTTCTGGCCTCTATGCGTGCAAGCTTGTCAGCCAAGGAGACTTGAATGCGCTAGACCCCGTCCTCCACTGGCTCGAACCTTCAGCAGGTCCTGAGGGCTCCGAAAACGGTCGCTTCTAACGGTCACCGTATAGCATCCGTATTGGCAATGTGCTTGTTGCGAAGATGGTTACACAATTGAAATTTGCTTGTGTTTACAAGGCGTCCTATGCAGCCGACTTTTACGTTTGTAAGTCTAATCGCCTTTGGGTTATAGTAATATGAAAAACGTTGCAGAGCAGTCCTTTCATATCGGCTTTTAAGTTATATTTAATTTTCATCTCGCTGCAACTCCTAATAGGTCGAAAGCTGTAGGGTTCAAATAGCACACAAGGGGTTGTCAGCCAAAGGTATGCCAAGCAGGTCACCATCGCCTCGCAGACGCTCTCCGTCTCCACCGAGGCGGCGACGGGGTTCTCCAGAAAATGACCGTCCGGATGACCGTCGTAAAGCTGCTGAGAAAGTTTGGCATGACCGTGGAGATGACTCGGGGCGCGGCCGCGCTCACCACGACCGCGACTGGGACAGGCAGGGGGAGCGCGACCGCTATCGGGACCTGAACCAGGACCGTGAACTAGAGCGCAGCCGCAGGGGTGACACCGGCCCAAGCGGGCGTCAGGACTACGACGGACGCCGCACTGAGGACCGTGACGGCGGCGGTTCTCGTCGTTTACCCAGTCCACGCCGGCATCGGTCCCGAAGCCCGCCGCTTCCCCGGCCTTCGCCGCCGCCGCCGCGGAACGGTCGGCCGCCTCCACCACCCCCACCGACTTTTTATGGCAATGGTGGGCGTGACGGCACCTCCCTCCCGTCGTCCTTCGGCCGGAACCCTGACGTTGGAAACTTTGACGGCGACGTCAGCGACGAAGACATCCGACAAAAGGCAATGGGCAACTTCCAGGAATAGTGAGTTACCGCTGCGCGGGGCTGCGGCAGTCTGAGCTCGTTGGCTCTCCGTCCATCACCCTGTGGCAGCGGCTGCCCTGTTAAAGCCCAGCTTCTCCTACCGCACGAACGGCACCCGATGTAACCCACATTCCTTGTGAGCTTCTACCGCTGCCGGGCACCATCGCAGCAGCATCGCCTTGCGGGGTCATGCATTGCAGAGCCATTTCTAGATTCCCGCGTTTCTGCCCAGCGCGTCATGCTACTGCCTTCCCCCACCACGCCCATGACCTCTCTCGCGTCCTCACCACCGCAGTCGGCGGCTGATGCGCGTCAAGATGGCCGAGCGGAACATTAAGCCCTTCTGGCGCACCACGCCCAGCCCACCTGAGCACGCCAACTACACGCCGGAGATCCCGTGAGTCCCCGTAAAAGCTGCTTAGGCTCCTTGAACTTTGTCGGAATGAAGGACATTACGCCGTAACATGCCACACCGCACCGCGCCACAGCACGTTTCCTTGATTGCCTCTTATGATAATGTAAAGATGATCCGCGCAGGAAGGACTACGTATTACTTTTGGGTGCCGCGGCGGTGGGTGGAGCCAAGGAGCCGCACAAGGCGGCCAAGTGGGTAGCGGCCGCGGGCGGGCACAGTAGAGATGCCTGGGGGACTTGATCTAAGAGGACCCGGGGTTGGGCTTTTCCTTCTGTACGGGGTTCACAGTGCTGACTGTTTCGCGCCTATCAGCTCTTCAGTCTAAAGTCCGGTTTTCCCGCGTGGAGGTACGTGTGGCGCCGTAGCTACCGCCAAGGGCCCTGCCACGTCCTTTCACTCTTTCTACTCGCCCGCCAAAGCAACGTCTGTCGTCAAAGCGCAAAAGAGTCGTCAGTCGTTGTACGCGTAGGGAATCTCAATGCGTGTTTTGATTCTGGCTGCCACACCCACTACACCACACCACGCCTTCCCCTGCAGGCGTGGGCGGTCGCCAAGTCCTGTCCGGCAGCAGCAGCAGCAACAGCAACTGGTGGGCGGCGGCGGTGCTGCTCTGGGAGGCCGTGAATCGTCTACGGAACCCCCGTTAAATAAGGAGCTTCTCGCAATCGATCAGGAGGTGTGGGAATATTGGAAGGCGGGAAAAGTAGAGTTTAGGTCCTTGCCTTTGTGCAGAGCCGTGGGCCAGCGGTGGCCGCACCGTCCCGAAAGCTGGGGATATGAGCGACTGGTGAGCTGAGTCCATCCCCGCCGGCACCGCCGCCGCGGCAGCAATAGCCAGCAGGCAGCAGAGCGTTTTCGAGACCGAGGAAACCATGGTTGAAAAGCGTGAGCACGCTTGCGTTCTACGGTCTGGGTCGGATTGACCGGCTCGGCTCACTGGGTTGAAAATGATTCCTGTAGCTCAGTCGGTTGCGTCTGCGAACCTCCCCATGCGCATGCTCCGTTTTTGCGCTGCTTGGACGACACAGCCCCTGTGCGGCTCTTGTGCGTGCAGGAGGCGGATCTGTTGAAGGCCTGGCTGGAGCTGCAGCATGCCGCCGCGGCGGAGGCGGAGCGGCTGCACCGCGAAGCGCTTGCGGCGGAGGGCGGGATCGCAGACGCGGACGATGTGGGGCCGAAGTTACCGGAGACGCACCGTGCTGCAGCGGCAGGTGGCAACTTCGGAGGCTTTCTCAGGCCCGGCGAGGGCGAGCGGTGGGTAACAGGTTGCTTTTGTTGGGCGGGGGGTGCTTTTTGTCGTTGTGCCTTAGGTGAAGTGAGCCTGGTCGCCGGTCCCATCATCGCGGCCGCTGTAGCCAGGGGCATTCGTCGGTGGACGGCATTTACCGGGTGTCCGTGCTATGAACCAACGAACATGTTGGGCACCTGGCGCCTTGCAAATGTGTGACGATTCTCCCCGTACATATTGTACCTTCTTTTGCTTGTATCTTTTAGATCAAATGCTGAGTTCTTGGTAACCTACCGTACGGTAACCTGTGCACTTGGGCGGTTAACTAAGAGGCTTTTTATTTCTTTCCTTTCTTACGCCATGTCCCATAATGCAGTATGGCGGCTTACGTGGCTAGCGGTAAGCGTATTCCGCGCCGTGGTGAGGTGGGTCTGTCGTCGGAACAGATTGAGAAGTTCGAGGGCCTAGGCTACATCATGTCAGGTAGCCGGCACAGCCGCATGAACGCTATTCGTTTGCGCAAAGAGAACCAGATCTACACGGCAGAAGAGAAGGCTGCTCTCGCAATGTTCAATTACGAGGAGAACAAGCGCAAGGAGGCCAAGGTGCTGGAGGACATGAAGGCACTGGTGTCGCGGACCCTGGCAGTGCACGGTCAGGAGGGTGCTGAGGAGGGGTCAACGGCGGGTCCGGGCACTTGAGAGGCTGCGATTGCCCTAGAAGGAATTTCACGTGTGTAAGACGTGCTTGGGCCTAATGTTGTGCAGTACAAGTTTTGGCCCGCGCTCAGGTACACTCTTGTAAAACGGGTTTTAGCAATTGCACGCACATGTTCGTCATTCCTAATTATTAGCCCTTCCATTTACAGTTATATGGTGAGATTCCTCAAATCATACAAATTCAGACCTTCCCTGCTTCGCTCAGGTACGCAACCTAGTGCCCGAATCACTATGGATCACAACAGTCCAGTCAGACGTGCCTTGTTGTGGCAGTTGTGTACTATGTATTTCCAACGCTTCTTTAAAATTCTAAAGGAAGCAGCAAATGCTGACAGCCCACGTCTGACACCGCTTACAACAATCACAGTCAATTGCGCCACAGCGGCGTGATCGCGAAGTTCCTGCATTAGACACCTCGTACAACAGGTAACACATCTGCCGTGCAACCCAGTGTTGGTGTCAGCATAGCAAGAATCTCCACTCCTTCGCCTTACATCACCTTCATAAATCGCGATATGTTGTTACAGCAGTTGCCGCGATCATAGTAGCATATGATGATGCACATGGGGCTTCGGAATCGGTGAAGACCCATGAAGGTCCTGAAAGCACTGAGATATGAGGCGGCACGCCTAAATAGGGTGGTGTGCGCCCGGTTCAATGAAAGATACGAACGAAACGTGTGGCTAATTGCTGCGGTATGCCACCATGCATCCACCGTAAGCGCCAAAAGCCCTGCACAGTCGTGTAGGTGCATAGCTCGCCGCTATTAGTATCCACACCTCAGCATATCACACGGAGTCATCGATACCACCATACAGCACAACAATCCATGTACCATCTACGGTCGCGTCACATGGGGTTGTGACTGACACGGTCACAAACCTGTCCCAAGCCCACGAGCACGTGTCGGCATGTTGCACACGTTCGCAACCGAGACATCCTTAACCACGAATCCTTGGGTAAAATGACAGCGAATTCGGCCGCTGAAACCTTCACCACTAGACGATCAGGTCCTGTACAGCCTAGGTCAAGGGGCTGCTAACTACACACGTAACAATGTGCGCGCTAGGGCCCTGCTTCACTTCCGAATTGCCCACCTGCATCAATGCACGTTCATCCGCTGTCAATTCGTAAATCCCTGGCTGGCGATTAACAAGATGAATCTTGCGGTTATGTCCGCTACGCCGATATAGCATGGGCCTCTAGCGAACGGGTTCACTGGTAGCGGTCAATGAACACAGCGAGCCGCCTGCCTTCAAGTTCGCTCTCGTGGAAGCGTGTGACAGCCGCCTCTGCCGCGTCCTTCGTTGTGAACTTGACAGTACCGTAGCCCTACGGGGAGGAACAAGATTGTCGACTTGCTAAGGGGGGGAACTCAGGCAATGTAAGACCTACACGGCAACCCAAATAAGATGCCAACGTACCCGGCTGCGGCCGTCGGAGCTTGTGACCACATCTGCGCGCTCCACATTGCCGATCTCCGCAAACATGTCCTTGAGCTCACGCCACGTGTATGACCATGGAATCCCTTGGACCACAATCTATAAGTAGGACAGCCAAAAGGGCGACACAATACATTGACCCATCTCTGTTGCATAAAATTTGACCAAACCTGGGTCTATAATTGCGTACTCATAAACCATTCAACAATGTGGACCAAAGCTGCTTAGGACGTCAACGACTGTTAGGTCGGGACGCATAATCCCGCCAAAAGTAGTATTAAGATTTCCCAAAAATACCAGGAAAACGACGACAACGAGACGAGCAATTTCCCTGTAGGTACAGGGCAACACACCGGAACAAAGTAGACATTCGCGCAGACTTCTGGCGCGGAAAGCACCCAAAAAAATTTCACTGACATTTTATTTTAAAGTACAACATAATGAAAATGTGCGCCTTCGAAACAGTTGCATACCTGTAGCCCACTAGACTCGCCAGCGCCCTCGGCGGCAGCGCCAACGCGCCCGCGTCCAGCTCCACGACCGCCATTGGCAGAGCTGCGGCCACCACCGCGAGCAGGACGTGGAGCACGCTGAACCTCAGTTGAACCAATAAGCTGCTTGATGTCGCGGTCCTCACGGTCCTCGCGAACCAGGATGCGCCGACCGCCCAGCTCAGCACCGTTCAGGCTCTGAATGGCATGAAGCGCCTGCAAAACACAAAAACATATCGCCACTTATTACTGCTAGCACCAAAAATGTCATTCAGCCTTGTCATTCCTTAGGAGTGCTGCTGGCAGGTCGGCTGGCGCCGTCCATACTGCTATGCAGATTATCTACCTTACTAGAATTAGCTTTAAGCAGTCTGAACTGAAGACAAAAGCAACCCAGGAAACAAAGGCCGCCAGGCGCAGCCCTGCTAGGAAGTGGGGCGCTGTGGGACCGCGCAAAAAGGTTACTAAACCCTTCTTCTCACCTCTTCAGGAGTCTCAAACTCCACAATACCCCAGCCCTTGGACCGGCCTGTCAGCGAGGCAAAGACACAGACTCAGGCCGCCAAGATCAACTGGGTAAGCATAAGTGCCAAAGAAGCAGCTGCTCCGAGCAAAAAGCTCTTGAATAAAGAAAACCACAGAAGCACTGCGTGACGGAACCGCCAAAGAGTGTCGAAAGCGACTAAGGCGGCCCTCACCATCGTCGTCGCGCATAACATTTGTGTACACAACGTTGCCAGCCTCCCTGAACTTGTCTTTGAGGTCCTGCCAGGACGTCTTCCAAGCAAGGTTGCCAACAAAGCAGCGCTTTCCCAAGCGAATTGTCTCCTGAGTGGTATCCATGCTGTCTTCAGCCCGCCTCCCCAAGCACCTCGTCAAAGTTCCGCCCCTACTGGAAATAAGCAACTAGCCCCCGCCTTGCAAATCCGCTTCCTCCCTGTATAGATATAATCTAAGACCATTTCCTAAGTAAACGGGCGTCGGGTATACCAGGGCGGCGAGGGCCCTGCGTACGGAAGACCGGTTGACAGTGTTTCAACAGTCACAGTTTTGTCGCTTTTGGCTTGATAAGAAAAGAGAGCTCTTGATTACATGGGAATATTGTTTTTAAAATGGGTGTGCAAGGTTTTGGGCTATGCTTGCGGAGATTATCAGGATTCGGCAGTTGGCGGCGGCGTTCACTCAGATGTAGCACGCGTTAGAGTCGTTACAATCACTCTTTCCTGGATTATTTACATTTTACCTAACATGTGAGCGGACGGAGCTGACGCTTGCGGGAAGCTACGGGCCCATAACCGCGCCAGTAAAAGCCAAACCCACTACAGCACGATTTTTACTATGATTGGGAACTAGTGGCTAATGAAGAGGGGCTGAGTCCCAGGAAGCTGTTGCGTGGGCTACAACTCGGCCACTTCCATAACCACAAAAGCTACCGACTAGCCGTCGAAATTCTGCTGGCTTGGCTAGCATGCGGAATACTATGGAAACCCTCACACTTTTGTCCGCCGGACTGTAACCGTCGGCTGTATTTGATGCCTTATTGGGTGCGAGCCCCGGTCGCGACGTTACGACCAGGGTACTTGTACTTTCACTGGAAGCGCAACCCTGCGAGCTTCACATAATCCTAACATGCGCGGCAGTTTAACGATTGCTTAATATGCAAGGCTAGGTAACTAGGCCGTAACTAGGCCGTAACTTTTTGTGAAAACTAAACTGGTCGAAAATACTCAACACTTTATAAAACATCTTCATAGTTTTCCACACATACATTCGTGATTACTTAAGCTCACTTATGCCTAACTAAGCCGAGAAACAGGCAAAGCTTACAGACCTCACGGCTCTTTCTACTCGCCGCTTAACACCCGTTCTGGCCTTCCCCACGGATATCCCTGGTTGGTGTGGCTCGTGCATCAGGAACCAGCCCTCTAGTCGTATAAAACCGTGTGTACGAAGTCTCCTGCCTCGATATCCTGACTTCAGGTGTGCTTCAGGGTCTAGGATGCCTGGATGTTGTACAAATAATGTGTTCTATTGCGTTACAGCAAATGCAGCTATGACGACTTGACACCATGGCCTCTCTCTCCGATAATGAAAATTTAAGAGGTTGCCTTAGTTGCCCTTTGGACGAGCATGGACGAGCTGCGTCTCACGAAGCACTGCTGAAAACACTGGCGGAGACAACCTTGGCCAATTGCTCGTCCATTGCTCTGAGGGCCTCATAGGAAGCCGTGCGGGTCGCTACGCAGGCCCGTCACGTACTACGGCCAGCGCTCTCGTTCTGCTCTACACCGACGGGCTGCACCAGGGGTGCTCCGGAGCCGCCCGTCAGCAGCTGCACGATACGCTGGGTCGGCCACAGCGCCAGTGCGAAAATGGGCAGGTGCCGCAAGCTGCTCGTGGCCGCCTTGCCAACAACGCGATCTGCATGGCCATGGATTGGCAGGACGGCCACGCATGTCGCACCATTTTAGCGTAACGTCAATTTTAACGTCAAGTATCACCTGTGGTTGTGTCTGTGTCTGTGTGCATTATGTGCGTGCTCGGTTTCAGTACGCGCCGAAGCTTTGTCGAAGCTACAGTCATGTATTCTGACAAGTAGTCAATAGATGTCGCAAAGGCACATCGTAGAGAGTCGCCTGCACATGGGCGAGCCCCTGGACCTGGGCCTAAGGCTGTCTCTGGCACCATAAACCCTGCAGACGCAGAACTCACCGTGTACAGCATTCACGTCCGAGTCGCAGGACACAAGGATGTAGACGGGGAATAGAATGGCCAGCACGGCTGCCCCCGGGTAGAAAGACAGCAGCACTGTGGAAAGTGCCATGGGCAGGCCGAAGCCTACGCGGGTGGAGCAGGAAGCGAATGATAAGTGCGGGTGCAAAGGCGGAGACGCGAATCTCCTTCCTCCTCAGCCACCCACGGACGCATCGGCTCATAGAAATTGAAACACGTCGTGTACCACCCTCATCTGCAACGGCAACCTAACAATGTCCGTGTTAAATTTGGCCTGCGACCATCCCCCCCATTGATCACTCGGCGCATCCATCACCTTTTGTTTCACGCCATCGCCCCTGCAACCCCGGCACGCGACTAAAATCCAGGGGCACGCTCTGCAGCCGCTGCCCTCCGCCCCTACCCCGTGGGCCACCTCAAACCCACCCGCAAAGAACGCCCAGCGGCGCTCAAAGTACGCCAGTCGCTCCGGGAGCCGCACCCCCTGGAGCCCCCACTTGTAATCGAAGCAGTAATAAGCGTACAGCCAAGACAGAAAGAGCACGTTGAGCGTGTAGCCTGCAGGAAACGGATTGGGGACGACAGCGGCCCTTGCAGCAGTGACCACCAGACGGGCGGGACGAGCGCGACGGAACGTCAGGCTGGAAAGGCGATGAGCAAACGGAGCACCTGTACGGGATAGTACGGGGGAGGTCCGGGACCTTCCCCTTCCCAGACTCCCCGAACACCGTGTTCTGTGTCACGAACTGCCCTAGGTGGCTATGTCCCCTGAAGCGGCATGAGCCATGAGCGGCAAGCGGCTGCCAACTGCATTGAGTTGTCGCTATCATGTCGCCCGGGTGGTTCCTGGTCCATAAATTAACACGACAGGGTTCTCCTCCATCTGAGGAGCAGCGGACGGGCAGCGGCCATCACAAATGCGCAGCCGGAGGCGCCGCAACCCCAAGTGGAAAAGAAGAGACGACAGCAGCTCGTCAACGAGCGGTAAGGGCCCAGTAGCCCAGAGTGTTCTTGTCTCTGGGCGAAATGGTCACGGGCCGCAGCGACATGCAAGGATGACTTGGCGAGCAAGAGTGCCAAACGGTATTCCAGGGAAGGACGCCCATTGGGGCGATTTGGGAGGATTGAGCAGCCCGGGCCGCAACTGGCTTGCTACCCGCCTCCCTGCCCTGAGGCGCTGCCTTGGGGCGCTGTATGCACACCCTTTCCCAGTTATGGAGTAGAAGAGCAACGCACGTCGTCCCTGACCGCGTGTATTCTTGAACCCAGACATTAGACACCACGTACCCACGTACGGCAGGCGGCCTATAGTGCTGACTTCCGCGAAAAACACGCAAAAGAGCACCACTCGATAAACCTCTTGCGCCACGTTCTCCAGGCCGCCGCTGCCGCCCGGTGGCTGACCCCTGTGGCTCGGACCTGCATGCCAGGTGCAGGGGAACAACGCTTCAGACGGCAAAGCGAGGAGCGGACATGTCAGAGTGCGCTGGCAGTCAATAACCGATGTGTGCGCAGAGGAAAGCATGCGCGCATTAAGAACGAGTCCAATTGGATTGGCAACTACCTTTTAAGCTTGTGCCAAGCTTGTGAAGAGACGCGATGGACCCAGCTTTCTCTCTGCGTCCCCACCTGATTTTACCTGACCTATCCACAGTCGCGTCTAGAATGCGGCGGCTTCCTGATCCTCGACCCGCCACAGTGATCTCCTTCGAAGCTACACCCGCAACGGCTTCATCACATCCGACACCCCATCCCACACAGAGTGCATCCGGCGCATCTCTGTCCTCCTCCCAAGCCGTCCTCTGAAAACAGTCAACACAGACCTGGCTCCTAGGGCCCCAAGGGGGCCCAAGCTCATCATCCCCTCCACAGTTGCTGTGCTGGTGCGCACTCAACCGACCTCTGAGCCCTTCGAGTACCCACCAGGAGGCGCAGCAGGAGCCCCCTTCCGCTCTTGTTGCTGTTGCTGTTGCTGCTTGACGAGGTACGCGGTCTGAGCAATGTCATTATAGCTGTGGGGAATACGGGGGGGGAGACGAGGCGGGGGGTCATCGTCTGGACACCCGAGCAGCAGATATATGGCCTGGATGGATAGATGGACGGCTGGATAGGCGACAGTGGCAACGTGGTATACGCGGATGACCACGTTACGGGTGGAAATGAACATTAGACTCGCAGGGGCGGGGCTCTGGGTGAGAGCTGCGGGGGTCCTGCCACAAACCCTAAGGTGAAAACTACCCACATCGCGGGTTGACTAGTGTCATAAAGTCGTGCGACTGCTCAGCGGTTCGCAACCGTATTACACTAGAGTGTTTCAACGTCGCCAAGCCCCAGTGGACCGCAACAGCTGGGCCGCAATCCGTAGCGCGACTGACGCAACACGGGAGACGGACATCACCGGGCACCAGCGGCAGTCCGTCTCACGCCCGGAAGCTGAAAGCTCACCGCCATGACCCCAGCTGCCGCAGCCCCCACCCGCCCTATGTGCTTGCTGCCTCCCTTCCCTCCACCTTGACACCACACCAACCTCGCACCACAAGGGCCCCAATCCACATCGAACCCGGTCCACGAGCACACGGCCCCGGTCGCACCACCCACATGCCGCAGCTGATGAACATGGTCACCAGGTACACGGGAAGAAGCCACAGCGCCTGGTACGCCAGCTGTAGCAGCACCTCCGCGCCGCGCGCGGGCAGGGACCCCAGGCAGGGGGCAACCAGGTACCGGAGCAGCCAGCTAGCCGCAGGCGCCAGGGCGCTCTCCCAAACTAAGATACTGTCGATGGACCGGCGGCGCACGGTCGATGGACCGTATGTGGGAACAAATTTGGTTGTGTGGAGGGAGGTCTGGGGCTCTGGATGTAACGCGCAAGCAGCGGCGCTATCCCACCATGGATAGCATGGCGCATGTCCCACCATGAGGGGGCCCCTTCCTCGTAGCTCGTTTGGCTCGTGATCGTAACACTGAGATCGCAAACACGCGTTGCTAGCTGCAGATAAGTTCTAAGTTCTCACGGGCTTCTAAGGGACAGAGGGCTTGGAAGATGACAATAAGGAAGACGATCGCGAGGTGGTGAATGGGTGCCATTCAGGGCGCATATGGGGTGGAGTAACAGGGTGGTGTGAAACAGGCAAGTGAAGTGGGTGGAAGCCACCGTTGGACGGGTTGCTGCGGGCACATGCCGGGCGTGCTTTGCCGCTGCCAAATCCATCCGCTCTCTACTCGTCGCCCAAGCCACTATCACCACCATGCGGCAGTTACCTGCCTAGTAGGATTCCGCCATTAAGGAGAAGGCACTGCAAGATCGCCCTCTGCAGCCAGTAAGTGCCGGGAAGTGTACCGTCTAAAGTTGATATCGCGCGTAGAGTTGCTTTGCGGCGTGCTGACCGACAGTTTCTGGAAAGCAAGATAACGTTGTGTGTTTGGGGTTGAGCTTGGGGGCACGGCAGCAGGCGACCCACAGCACCCATTAAAATGCGAGTCAAAGGAGGTTGTTTGTCAAACAACGTAAGGGAAATATATTAACCAGAGGAAAGGGCCAGGGCCGTGGTGGCGGCTAAGCCTATAACGAGAGACGGTGCGTGCTTACCCCAAGGGCGTTGCTGCTGTCCAGGACCAAGAAGACTACACAGCGGTGCACGTTTAGAGATTCCCGCACGCCCCATAACCTGTGAAGATGGTCCGTGTAAAGCACAGCATCCGCTTGTGCTCGGGTCGGTAACCAAACGAATACAAACGTACCATAACTGTGCTGACTGTTTCAACATGCCGTCTCATGCAGCACCGCGGATGCCTAAATTATCAAAATGCACTTAATTCTTAGGTAGACAGTTATCAATATGGGTTTACGCGTGTACACCTATAAATGCCACATATCTTCGTGCGTTCACAGTAAACCCTAGGATTCAGTTTTTTTTTGAGAGTTTGAATGTAAAAGTATCCCATGCAAATAGGAATGACCATATGAAAGCTGGGTGATTGTGCCTTGATGCTGCTGACAGCAGAAGATGTCGTGAAATGAGTCCAAAATTCATACGGGGTGCAAGATACCGGTACTGCGGACTATAGGACACTTGGCCCGGATTCCGCACAGATAGGTCAATCCTTCAGGAAGGAGTCTGTTAAAAAAGAAGCCAATTCGTATTTACTGTCGGCTTCTAGCACTACCTAGGCCACCATAACTTGGTGTACATTTGCGTCTACCGTAATCATTAAATTGTAGATCATCATCGACACATTAGATCCATATTTTAACAACTTGCTACTTTATCGCGTGGCAGCTCTAGGCGGCTGTTGTGTAGCTCAATGCCGACTGCGAGCGTAGCCTCGCGGGGTAGGTTCGGACATGCTTATAAGCACCTCAAGTCCTTTTCGCCACGAGCACGGCGACTCTTATCGGTTTTATTCGCTGCCGGATTGTTTTTCTTCGCGCTATTGTCTCTAAGCATACGTGTAAGGGATCCGGAAAGCGTTCATAATAAAATCACTGCACGTAACTCCGGGCAGCGGCGGTCCCTCGTTACTCAAGGCAAGGGCTTAGCTCACGTCATCCGACACTCGGGAACTTCGGCATCAACCGAAAGCTCGGCCAGCTTTCCCTTCCGGCTGCTCTTAGCAAGCCACAATCGTTTGTTCTGGTATTACCCTGGGAACAATACTATCCACGTCCTTCACGAAGGGGAGGTAGGTGCCTTGCTGCTGGGCGCATCTTCCAGGTTGCTCGTACCTCGCACGTTGCCGCTCCATCCCCATATTTCATGGCGCGTCAGGCTGTGCACTACGGCGTGTTCCCAGGCGATTTTGATGCCCGTGGTCAGCTAAAGACTGTGTGGAACGTGATCCGCCCACACAACTGGCACCCCAAAACCAGCCAGGAGTTTCTGGTCCAGCTTGATGCCGAAACAGGTGGGCAGGTGCCGAATCGGAGCGCTGCGCCCTTTGCTTTAATATCGTCCGGAGTGGTATGGTGGGGTGGTTTCGAAGCCTTGCGCCCTGCTGGCCACGAACACGGGGCCGTAGTCGCGCAGCTTGGCAGTAGTACACACGAGAACTTGGTCTTGCGAGGGCCGGGAGAGAGTAGGGGAAGGGAATGCGGATTTGCCGGAGGGGGGGGCTTCATTACGCCCAGTAAGGTGCTGCTCCGCCTGCGGCTGCTGTCGATACAGACGTCGGAAATTGGAGGCGCCCAAAGGGTGGATGGGGATGGGAGCCAACGGGACTCGCAGTCCGCCCTTTCTCTAAGACCCTTTGGCAGTCAGTGCTTTGGAGCTGGTGCGTTGGACTCAGGCACTTGATCTTTTGCAATTCTCCGCATCATATGGTTCCTCCCAGCAGTCTGGACCGTCCACAGGGTCGTTTGTTTGTTCCCTTCCCCTCCTCCCGGTTCCCTTCCCTTTCGGTCAGTTCTACGTTTGTTACTCTCTTGCCCTGGCAGCAGCTTCAATCGTGTGTGGTTCGTCTTTCCCCCCCTCCTCCCCCTCCTCCACGTGGCCCCCTTGAGGACCCCAAAACTGTCCCGGATGCGCCGTCACGATCGCAGGTCACGAGATTAGTCGAGTGCGCATCAACTCTCGTTTCACCCACGACGTGGTGAGTGAGCAGATGTGTATCCGTGGCCACTACCGGGGCACTAGCTGCTGCTGCGTGACCAGGGCAATGGCGCTGGCGCTGGTAGAGTCGACCCAGGCTTTCAGTGCCTTGAGAATTGCGTTGCCATCCTCACCCCCCCTTTCCCTTCACCCGCCTGCCTCTGTACCCCCTGCACGCTAACCCCCTGCAGGTGCGGCGAGGTGACCGGGTGTATGTGGCCAACACGGAAGGGGGGGAGGTGCAGGAGCTGCACTTCCCCGACATGAAACTGGTGAGGACAGAGGAGGCGCTGGAAGAGGAGGAGGAGGAGGAGGGGGAAGGGCGAGCTTTTCCCGGATCAGGGTCTCAAGAATGCGCTGGCAGAGGGGTGCCAGCAGATAGCAAAAGAGCATGACAGGGACATCACATGACAGGACTGAGTCTTGGCGGGCGGTGCATACTAGTCCCGTTGCGGGGCTCCCTCTCGCCATGCCCTATCAAAACCCTTTAGGGGAAGAACTAAAGGGGAGCCCATTTAACCATCCGCTCTGCACCTGACACCAATACCCATCCCGTTGTGTCCCACCTTTTTGTTCATTGTCTGCGCCATCTTGCCATTGGCAGCTTCGCTCCATGCGGCTATTCACTTTGCAACAGCATGTAAACACGCTGGCACCGCTGGACGACGGAGCCGTGTGGGCTGTGCTGCACAACCTGGGGAAGGTGTGGAAGAAAGGGGGGAGGAGGGAAAGGTAGTGAACCGGGGGTGAGGGAGGATGGGAAAGCAGGGCAAAATGGGGCCTGGATTTTACCAGGGGCGATTTGGAGCAGTTTGCCTCGCCTCATCATCCTCACCTCGTCTAGACGCCTCCCAAACGCGTACCTGGCATCACCCACACATACACATACACAAGGGTTTGGCACCACTGGTAAGGCGCGACCATTGCCCCCGGGAGATCCCGGGATCGATACCCGTTAGGGTCAAAGTCCTTCCGATGGTGGAAGGTAGAGTGCCCCTAGTCGATGGACGGTGATGGCCTGGGATAAAGTTAACCTGCGAGCCGACCAGGAATGGAGTTGGGCCGCTGTCGACCCGGCAGATTCCGTTGGATGCTGGTGGTGGGTGCGGAACCTGAGCGATCCACTGAGAAGTTGGCTAGGGTGACTGGATGAGGGTGCCCCGAAATACCGGGGAAGGCAGGGTTTCGCAGGGTAGCTGCCACGGGCGAAGATACACCCCCCTGTTTCACACATCATACATCACATACACGTGAGTGTGTCGTCTCTTATGGTAGGTTGGGTGGTGACGCGGTACGCGCCCAAAGATACAACTTTCCGCGGCTCCTAGTTGGTGGCCCTTTCCATCACCTCTAGAGTAGAGTGTATGGGGAATAAAAATCTATTGATGAGAAGATTGCGAGGGCAGGATTCGGCCCTCTTCACTTCCAAGCAAACAAGAGCGGAAGCCCAATCATCCCTCGTCTTCCACTTCGCCCACTCGGCCCTTCGATACATACATACATATACATATACATATGCACGTGCAGAGTGACGTGGTGAAGATCGACCCGGCTGCCGACCCTCGGCCCCGTGTGGTGGCTGAGGTGAAGGAGGTGGGCCTCAAGGCGCATGGTCTGGTGTACTGGCGGGGCCATTTTGTGATGCTGGACAGCGAACGCGGGGCGCTGGTGGTGGTCAACCAGGACACGGGGGCCGTACGGCAAATCTGGAAGGTGAGTTTTCCTCGCCGGGAGGTGAGGTCTCCTGGCTGTCCTGAGGGGTCCTGAACTGGGGCTGCTGGGGGACACTCCTGAAGTTGGAGTCGTTGCGAAAGGGGGCATGTCGTTTAAGAAACATGTGGGCAAAGGTGCGTTTTTAAAATTATGCGGGTGAACGGATCATCTTTACCACAGCATGTAAACGGGGCTGCGGATATGGCGAAACGGCATCTCAGGCCTTTTGCATTCGTGTTGGGATGTTGGTTGGAGTTCGTTAGGGAGGTGCGCTGCCGTTCCCTCCCTCGTCCTACCCTTCCCCCCTGGATCCGGGACAGGTTCCCGAATCCGAGGAGCCGTCCAAGTTCCTGAAGGGCCTGTGTGTGGTGGACGAGGTCGCGTACTTTGGAGTCAACGTCTGGGGGCAGCGTAGCCAGAGGGACAGCCAGAACAACAACGGTGAGGATTGGGCAGGATATGGGGCAGGGGGACGCTGTGGGGCTCTGCCGGACGACACTTACTGAGGGCACTGCAGCTGGCATAGTTTCCCAACCGTCCTGCCGCAACCTTTGAATACCCTCTCCTACCCCTCTCCCGCAGCTTTATTTGTCCTCTCCTTCCCGCAGCATTTGTCTTCCCCTAGACTATCCGTCTATTTCTGGTATCTGCTTCATTCGCCAATGGTTCATCTTACCGCCCTCCCGCACTTCTGGCCGCAGCGGAGCTGACAGCCGTGGAGCTCAACACGGGGGCGCTGCTGTGGCGCCGAACCGTACCCACCCACGGCCTGCTGAACATCGTGGCCTCCCCGGGCCTGGGGGAGGCCTCCACGTACCGCGCGATGGCCTCCACGGGCGGGGTCGCGCAGGTCGGCACTGCAGCCGGATCCTCCGAAACCAATCTTGCGACCAGCACCAGTGCCAGCAGTAGCAATGGCGGCGGTAACCTTGACCAGGTTCGCACTTCTCCTCCGTCGCCGATATCGTATTTAACTTCTCTTCTTACATCTTCCTCGTCAATGCGGCTCCAGGTGAAGAAGCTAGAGGTGGAGAAAGCTTCGGCGGCGGACAAGATTCGCCTGGGTAGTGGTGGTGGCGTTGATTCATTGGCCCTAGGCATCAACGACACGGCTGTAATTGCGGCTACTCAGCAGCTGATCGACATGGGCTACCGGCCCAAGACGTCTAGCAAGTGGGCATCTGGACAGCCGCGAATGGACCTCAAGATCAAGAACTCAAGGGACAGCTGGGATGCCGGCATCTCCTTGCCGCTGATGCAGGTCAACATTGACAAGCTTAAGGTACGCGATCCTGTGCGATAATGCTCGCGTGCATGCGAGTGCGAGTGCGAGTGCGCTTTTGCTCATCTTCTACAACGGGCAATTTTGATTTGATAGGTATGATGTGTGGGACAGGGGGGCATATCTTCACCCGTGGCCGCTACCTGGCGAAACCCTGCCTTCCCCGGTATTTCGGGGCACCCTCATCTAGTCACCCTAGCCAACTTCTCAGTGGATCGCTCAGGTTCCGCACCCACCACCAGCATCCAACGGAATCTGCCGGGTCGACAGCGGCCCAACTCCATTCCTGGTCGGCTCGCGAGTCAACTTTATCCCAGGCCATCACCGTCCATCGACTAGGGGCACTCTACCTTCCACCATCGGAAGGGTTTTCGACCTTGGCAGGTCTCGATCCCGGGATCTCCCGTGGGGCAATGGTCCGTGCCTTTCCTGGGTAGTGCCTGACCTAAGCATATGTATGTATTTGTTTCTCTGTCTGCCTGTCTGTATGTGTGTTAACCGATTTCCTCTCCTGGCCTCCTCCACCGCTGTCCGCTACCCCAGGAGCTGGTGCTGGGTATGCCCGACGACATGTGGACGCCGGAACGGCAACGCCGGGAGAATGCGGCCGTAGAAGGCAGGAAGGACAACATGAACAAGTGCGCATACCACGTGTGGGCGTTACGGCGTTGCACGCAGCGATCGATGGGGCTCGTAGCAGTCGGCGGTGGTCGTTTAACAGACACACACACACACAGACACACACACACACAGACACACACATAGAGAGAGAGACACACACACACACAGACACACACACACAGACACAACGCTCCCCCACCCGTTCCATCGTGGCGCCGTGGAGGCCCACGCAGGCTCGTAACGCAACTAACCACCCCACATTCGGTTGCCGACACACACACACACACACACACACACACACACACACCACCCGCACGGGCGTGCGCAGGTTCAAACCCGGCGTCGAGGCGTTGTACATGGTCTTTTCGGACCAGAGTACGGAGAACGTGTATCGCTTCCCGTACTACGACTACTTCAAGAGCGCTATCGAGCCCCTCCTGGAGCAGGTGATGTCGGTGACGTCCTGAGGAGAGGGCCGGGGGGGGTGCGGGTTGGAACCTCTGTGGCGGCTCTGGGCCCGTACCGCTAACGCATCTAATGACGCGGTATCTGGCCATGCCGGATCATGCGTTGTAGGGTGAAGTAGTATGCAATGCAAAGAGTGGCTGCAGGTGGAGCTCCCCTAGGGCAGGGCTCCACGTGGCAGGCGACACAGTGGCGCTCTCTGGCCGCTGGTTGGTTGCGGAAAAAGGACGATAAGCGGCCAAACCTGTTGCAACCTTTAGAAGCCAAAACACCATGGAGAGTGGAGGAATTAGCAAGCCGTAGCCTTTAGGTAGCAGTTGTTGGCTGCGGCGGGCAATGAGTGCTTGTTTATCAGCTGCTGCAGCAGCTCAGCAACCCCGCGCTCTGCTGCCATCAGAATCCCATCCCCCCACCCTCCCCCCCGGCCCGCGCCTCCGGGCTCTACCCTCACGCCCTCTCACATCCACACACACACACACCCCCCTCCATTTCCTTCAGCTCATCTCACGCCTGCCCTCTGGCGCTGTGCTTTGCTGCGGTGTGCTATGCCATGCACAGATCGTTGGCAAGGGGGACATGGACAAGGTGGTCAGGCTGCAGTTCGCCCGCATGAAGCCCGGCACCCAGATCAAGCCGCACCAGGACATGGGCGGATACGCCAAGGTGAGTGAACCGGAGCTGGAGCAGGTCAAAACACGTACGTCGCCCCGAGAGGGGGGAGTTTGGGGGATGTGGGGGTATAATTACCTTCCTGTCCTTTCTCTCCTGCCCCCGTTCCCAGGGACAGTTAGTGGTGCTTTGGACATGGGCGGTTGTTCCTTTTTGGACTTGAGCTAGTCAGGTTATGCCCTCCGTGTCCTAGAGCTTTCTTACACCCCGACACACGAACCCTAAAACCGCACCCACCTTAGCCCATCACTGGGGAACAAACTCGGAGCTACCGACTGATCCGGATTCCTTTCTTCGCAGCTGGCATTATACCCAATTCCCGTACCTACTTAATTGTTGATTTCCTCGCCCTCCCTCCACCCGCCGCTGCCGGCCCCAGTTCGCCCACCGCATCCACCTGCCGGTGGTGACTCACCCCAACGTTAGCTTCCATGTGTGTCCCGATGCGGAACGCCGTGGCTTATCGGGCCGTCAGCTTGATGAACAAATCTCGGACAAGTGCGTGCAGATCCCCATGGCGGAGGGCATGGTGTTCGAGGTACGCTCCGGGGGTGGGGAGAGGGTTGTCGGGCTCGGGGGTTGGGGACACGGGGCGCGGGGTGGGGGGACTCCCAAGGGCCTAAAGGCTGAGATCCTTTTGGTGGACAGGTTGGTCCCCCTGGGGGCACCCCCTCGTGGACAGAATGCGAGTTACCCGGAGCGCGGGTGTGGTACCCCTCCACATCCCCCGTGGTGATGCGATTGAGGGTAGGGGGCGAGACTAGGAGGGGAGCGGCCGGTGGCGCGCGGTAGCTGTATTCAGCAAGCCATTGTTTTCCCTCTCCCAATTACCCTGTTCTGTAAGAATAGTATCGGCGGCTTTTCCGTTTCTTAGCCCGCTCTTTCCCTCTTTTCCCTTCCCCCCTCTCGATCCGCGCCCGCGCCCTCGCTCCCCCCTCCCCCCTCGTCCCCTCCCTTCCAGCTCAACAACCGGGTGATGCACCTGGTGCGCAACCGCAGCAACGTGAAGCGTGTGCAGATGGTGGTGGATGTGGCGGAGGATCCACGCAAGCCGCGGCGCCTCAAGCCCGGCACAGTGTGCAACTACAATCAGGCGGTGATGGTGTGTCCACAGGAGGACATACTTCCAGACCACCCGTGAAGGAACACGAACACACACATGCATACATACATATATGCATACGCATACGGGTGCGCAAGACATCGCGACACGCCGCGGTGTCGGCTCAGTTTGGGCTACGCAAACAGTGAGTGTGGGTTACACACACACGGTTACACACACACACACACATACGGTCATACGATGCACACTCACATAGGCGCGCGCGATTCTCCTTGAGTAATTTATTGGGGTGCCGGTTCGTAAGAAGCAAGTAGACAGGCAGGTAGATTTTTGTAAATGTGTGTGTTGGTTTGAGGAGCTTCCTGCAAAGGTCAGCGTATGTGTCGCGTCGCGAGGAGGCCAGCGGTGGCAAGCGGGCAGAGGTAAGAGACGACGGTGGCAATATGTCTGCGTGGTGGTATGGCGCTCTGCTTGACAAGTGGATAAGGACGCTGAATGGGGCAGTGGGTTCCTTGCTTTCACCCCAGCAAAATGCGGATTGTGTTGAGTTGCGTTGTGTTGGGACAGGTTGGGTCGGGGGTCCATGGTCGGGTGTCCATGGTCGGGTCACCGGCCCCGCGACCGGTCGACCGTCGCCAGTAATCCGCACCGGACTGGGGTGCCTGCTCACTTAGGTCGCGGGGGCTGGGAGCTGGTTCCAGAAGAGACCGGTAAAGCCCCTTGATGCTGAAAGAGCGCTTGCGCGAGGTGTTGCGCGTTTGGATGATTGAATGGATTCCTGGTGGCCTAAGATTGTGCGCCTGCTTTGTGCGTGTGTGCACATTCCTACCGCGTGTATAAGACAGTGGCTTTTTCGGTGGCAACAGTGAGCGGACGTTTGGCGGGCGAGCAGGGAAGTATTCCTCGGGTTATTCCTTGCAATGCAGGGGGTTGTAGGGGCAGGCAGCAGGACAACGACGCTGAGGGGTGCATGTCTTATGGTGTTTTTTCTTATGGCTACGGACTCGAACTCCGGGTATTTTGGTGGAGCTTATTAGGTGGGAAAAAACGTGCGTGGCGTGGCGTGGCGTGCGGTTGGCGAGCTGCTTGGGGGGTCGGGTGGAAATTTTATGCACAGGTGTGGTTGCATGCAAGTAAGGACAAAGCCTTCGGGCCACCAAAATCACTTCCGTAGGCCTCCATTAACAGGCAATCTGAAGTCGATGATTCCTCGCTAGGCGCATGAATTAATGCAGTAAACTCGATGTTTCGTGTTGAAAGGATGTTTCCGGACAAGAAAAGCACTGGAGCTACCGCAGGAATGGCTGTAATGGCAGCGTTCCCTAGGGGCACATACCAGTTGTTGTGATTTGACTTCAACCTTTGTTGCTTTGTTTGCATGACTGTGCTTGGTTTGCAATTAGGCTTGATTTTGCTTGGTGTCTTGACATCGGCCCATGGGCCATGAGGTTAGACACTGGACCAATGTTTTGCAAGCACCTTTCTACCATTTCCTTACTGATTTAATGAATTGTGACCTGCATGTATGCAGGACAGCTACCACAAGGCCCGTTCTCATGTCTCCTCCCAGCGACCCTAGGGCCGTACGCATCGACTCAGACTGTATTTGTGCTAGGCTGGAGATAATGACACCATCAACTTGAAACATTTGTGTTGTGACTATGTAGAAAAGCCGTTGTCCAGAGAACCTGTGTAAAGGGCTTCATCATGGCGGTGCCCATTCTTTCGAGCCATCTGCCGCAACATCCATGTTCGACAAGGAAGGCATATTTAAAACGTGGAGTAGTATCTAGACGAATTGCGGTTGCTCGCGCGGAGAACAAGGTAGGATGTTGCGTCTATCTTGCGACGAAATAGTGCTTGATGCCGTATCAATGCGAAGCAGGCTTCGGAAGCGGTGGTATTAGTTGGTGACATTGGCGGAACAAATGCGCGCCTGTCGGCGTGGCGGACAGTTCTCGGCAGCACTGCGGCGACTCAACTTTTTGCAAAGGTGCGAAGATAGCCTACCCTAGGCATGACGTGGGCGACTATGACTTAATCGGAATGCGTCTTAGCTTTTCAGGTGTATCCTACGTCGGAGTACTCCACCTTCGACGCGGTCGTCGATGCCTTCCTGTCGGAGCCGTCAGTGGGGCAAAGCCCGCCTCAAGCAGCAGCTCTCGCGATTGCAGGCGCCGTCAACGACAACCGTTGTAACATGACAAACGTAAACTGGATTGTGGATGGGGACCAACTGCAGGCGAAGCACGGCTTCCGGTACGCCTGCATGGGAGTGTTAAATGGGGTTGCTCTTGCTTGACAACATGTAGCAGGCCCGCCGCCCCCGTGTGTCAGTCATGCGCAGATCCCCCATACGTGGCTCACCATTTGTCTCAGCCCCACCTCGGACAACGATCGAGCTCTCCGACCTGTCGCAACGCATTCATGCTGGCATAATCCTTTGTGTTGCCCCCAAGTTGCACGTGCGCATCTCCGTATGCAACTGTGTGGTCCAGGAAGCGCCAGGCGGTGATGAAGAGGAGTGCGTGTGGTGTAAGAGCCGGGCAGTAACGCAGGCAGCCCCTGCCTGTCCACCACTCTCACCCCAACCGCCAGTCCAGGTCTCCCTCATTTAATGCCCGCTTGTGTTTTCCTACGCGCCCTCCCTCTTCCCGCCTTCCCGGCCGCCCTCCCGGTGCTATCAGGGTGGCACTCCTCAATGACTTCGAAGCTGTGGGGTATGGTATTCCCGCCCTGGAGCCGAAGGACATGGTGGCCCTAAACGAGACGCCCGTGGCCCCCTGGGTGGGTGTGCGCGCTACTGGAAGAGGGACAGGGGTAACGGGTTATTACAGAAAGCGCGTTGTCCATGTGAAATGGAAGCAGAGCGCATGGCCTACGCAGCGCCTCGTGTCGATCTTCACCACGCATGTTTCAACGAACTGAGCCATCTTCATTATACTGTGCATATTGGCCGTACACTACCCTTCCCTGGGCTCCTTCAGGGCCCCAAGGTGGTCATGGGTCCGGGCACGGGACTGGGCGCCGCTCAGCTCATGTGGGACAGCGGCATCCAGGCGTACAAGGTGTGGCCCGGTGAGACATCCGGGAGGAGGGGAGGGGCGGAGAGGGGACTACGCGCAAGAGAACTCAAAATCATATTAACTACTGATATTCAGAGCAACTAGGCCTTGGCTGCCCGTAGCTCCGGAACCGCAGTTGCAGTTATGTACTCTAGCCTGTCTGCTTGTCACCACTTTGCCGAGGAGTCTGTATCAACGTTATCTAAGAGGGGGAACCAGCGGGAGGTGGCCGAACAGCTGGCTGTGGTCTTTTACAATGCAAACAGCCGAAGTGCAAACAGCCGAAGCCTTAGGCTGGCTTGGAGATACAGGAGGCAAACCTAAACAAGGGATAAGCATAGAGTGGTGCGATGTATTCGTCCCTACGATTGCCAGTGTGGTGTTGAATCTTGGCTACTGCAGGGGTTGATACCCCGTAGGAAAAGGGTAGTAAAATTTGAAAGTGGGGCGGTACCATGGACTGTCGGGGAATTCGCGGAACCCGGGTCTGACACTGAAGTGAAACAAGTCGGTAAGGGTAAAACCGATTAGGGTGCCCTGCAACAAAGGCGAAGGCGAATGCGGGAAAGTTCGCATGGGTGAAGCTGCATCCCCGGTCCGGCACAAACCGGGAGGAGGTGACCGACGCCAAAGTGGCCGGGTGGGGGGGTGGGAGCGCTTCGTGGCGTGTTACCGCAGAAGCGGGCGGGTTGGGACAGGAGTGCGTACATGCCGAGTGCCCCGGAGACCGCGTGGAATACTTTTTTATTCCGGAAGTCCAGTCTTATCATACGGGAAACGCTTGAGGTCACACAGGAAGGGGGTTGTGGTCTCTCATTGTGGTTGGCCATGCACTTGGTGTAAGCAGTAGCTCCTACGGCCGTCCATCTTGAGGGCATTTCTCTACCTGTGCGTTCTGCACGGAAATGTGGGTGAGCGGGCGGACGTATCGGGTCCCCTCTGCAGGTGAGGGCTCCCACGCAACCTTCGCTCCACGCGGCTGGAAGCAGGAGGCTCTATCGCGCTATGTCACCAACATGCACGGCCACTGCGAGATAGAGCAGGTACGGAAATGGAAGTCAATTAGCATGTGAACACCCCAGAAGTAGTTACGTAAAGCTAGGCGAGAAGCCGCCAGTTTTCGTGAGCGTGCATCACCATCACCATCGTTATTAGCATTATCAGCAACAGCAGCCTCAGAGCCTCCCGGCCGTGGGAGGTCCAGGGAGGCAGCTCATCAGAAGCTCGATGCGGCCGAGAGCTGGGTCGTTGGGGCTCACCGATTGAGGCTCCCAGTCGTATGTTTACAGCCCTCGTGCTAACGATAGGGCGATGTCAGGTTAGGGCGGCTTGGACCGACCCAGTAGTACACGGGGGGTAACTGCAGGACATTGCAGGACAGAGAAGTTAAGCGCGGATTTGGAAGGCTGGGTCTGTGCACCGTGCGCCCGTTGTACCTGGTCGCTTGTGCACGGACCGACCTGTCCACCCTGACAGCATCAGGCCCCCTCCTCATTTTCCGTCCATGTGCCTGTGTATTTGCGTATACGTTCCTGCCAGGTGGCTTGCGGGAGAGGTCTTGAGCTGATCTACGAGTTCCTCCTAACGGATGAGGCCGCGAACCGACCAGAACTGCTGGCTGGCACGAAACTCAAGAATAAGAAGGTTGGTTAATCCTGCATGTGGCAATATAAAGCCGGAACAGTAGATTGCAGTGCTGCCGCGCCGGCAAGATGGTAGTTTCGGGGTCTGCGCCGTCCGAGTCCGGTCCGGTGGGTCCACCCTTTATTCCTGGCATGTTTTCCAGTCCTTTTATGGACTCACAAAGCGGTAAAGTAGCATTTTGGCTGACTACCCGGACGATACCTGATATCTTTTTTCTGTTTGGCCCATGCGGTACGAGGGTCCTCACAGAAGGCTGCAGAGATCAGCGCTGCCGCGTTGGAAGGCAGCGATCCCATCGCCGTGGAGGCGGTGGATATGATGTTTGCCATTGTGGGTGCGGAGGCTGGGGCAATGGCGCTGCGCTGCCTGGCCAAAGGTGGGTCAGGGTGGATGGGTTTAGGAGACGTGAAGTTGTGGGAAGAGGGGCAAATAGCCCGTACAGCTACCTTCACTGGGTTCATGTGGGGTGGGACAAGGCGGGCGGCCCGGTGCCGAGAAGTGGAGTAGTGTATGTGTGATGTGAATTGGGGGCTGAAAAGGGTAGAGGCATCTTGCTTTTATCGTCATGTCCTATTGTGACTTGGGTGAGTCGCTTTGTCCATGTGCGGTGCGCCTTGCCGTCTTCCCAACAGAAAGAAGCGCACACAGTTTTCATGGATGAACTGGATTCTCCCATACGCTCCACTCGTGTCTCGCGGGCCTAAGTGTCCCGTTCAACACATCAAACGTCCATGCGAATCAGTGCCAACGTTTTTATCCTCATGCAGCCTTCATCCCGGCATATTAACGCCGCTTGCTCTAAAATTGTTCACGTGAGACGATTTGTCATGTCGAGTAGAGATTTGTCATGCGGAGTGGCGGTTGGGCTAAAACCCTACAGCCCTACACCGTTTGTGGGAATCCCCACCCTACTTTAGCTCTGCAATTAAGGATAATGAAATAAGTCTGAGCGTACACGCACGTGCATACATACATGCGTACATGACCCACCACTTCGGTCGAAAAAAAAGGATTCATCGTAACCCTAGCCAGTCTGCACTCCTCCCGGATACATACGTTACGCATTGCCTTCCACCAGGGGCTCTACATCCCGCGCGCTCCTCTTCCCAATGCACATGGATGTGAAGTCCGTCGCAACTCCCCTTCAGTATGGGGTTGCCCTCACTGTAGGTCAGCCACCACACCAAGATGAACACAGCTAAAACCCACACGCTTCCCACTGTCCTTTCGCCTTCGCCACTGACCCCAGGCGGTGTCTACATCGCGGGCGGTATCACACCTAAGCTTCTGCCGCGAGTGAAAGCGGGTGCCCTGCTGGAGGGCTTCCTCATGCGCAAGGGCCGCGCGCCCTTCCACAAGATCCTGATTGAGATACCGTTGTTCGTTATAACCAACGAACAAGTCGGTCAGATCGGGGCGCGCGAGGTGGCAAAGAGGCTACTTGCCGGAAAATAGTCGGTGATCGAATGGCAGCACTTGCGCCGTGCCGCCGGTCAATTGCGCGCGGGGAGCTGGACTGCACGGTATAAACAAGGCGGAAGGAAAGCGCCTCTTGTTGATGGCATGGCAATAAACCTGCGTCTGGATGAACTGCCATGCGCACCTGATTCCGGCGAGCGTGTAGACAAAAAGCTAGCTAGGCAACAACGTAGGCTGAAGCTATCCGAGGGTAGTGCGGTGGTTGCGGGATAGCTCGTGGCAGCGTCGCCACCAGCAAAAACTGCGATTGTGGTCTATTGACGTGGTCTGCTGTGTTTGGACGTTTGCGGTAAATGCCGTTCCTTTCCCACATGCGTGCAACTGTGTTGCCTGGTGTCTTGTGCTGACAAGCTCTCCCGGCCGTGGCACTTCTGAAAGATTCTGGTCGCCGCGGAGCGTATCAAACTCGGTGCATCAAACGGCATCAGCCTGGATGTTCTTCAGAGCGAGGCCCCAGTAGCACGAGTTGCAATGCTCTAACCGTTTGCAGATGACAGCTGCATGATTAGCCTTCTGCCATCCCGATAATCCCCTTAATGGCTTGCAACCTGCGGTTTGTCCACAACATCTCTCATGAAGCCCATAGTGCAGTTGTGGCCGTGTGTATAGCATCAAAGTTAATTCTTGGCTGGATGACGACCAAAACCCAACCTTGGTAACACAAATCAGCTCGCACGTGCACGCGGGAGATGAACCACAAGATCCCTGCGCAGCTCATCTGCCAGCTAACCGACCAGTCGGCTCGGCAGACCCAAATTCGTGGTTCCTTTTCCTGCTGCACTGCTGCCGCAACAGCCATCCATACATTGCCACCGCTTGCCAGTATAAAGGCTGCGCGAACATGCTGCGAGCGAATGACGGCCCAGACAAGCACGCCAGCCACGTTAGTTTTGCCCGGATGGCGTCTGCTGCTTTGCGCGGATTTCGTTCAAGCTGGCACGTGCGTACGCAATTTCAGCACGAAGGTCGTCAATGGCCGCCTGGGGGTCGATGGGCGCTGCAGCTGCCGTAATGCTGCCGCCACCCCTGCTTGGTGAGGAGCCGGACGCACTCCCCGACGATGTGCGCTCTGGCAGGAAGCCGCTGCTGGACATTTCCTTGCGTGCCAGGGCCATTACCTCCTCCTGTGCGTGGTCAGGTAAAGTTGAAGGTAACGCGGTTGTACAAACTTCAGGGTTTAACGGCAGCCGGCGCAGGGCATCCTGCTGCTGCGGAAGCGCGTGTTGGTCCCTCACCCCACCAGCAGTCAATTGTAACGGAAAGGTCTATGCGTTGATACCTGGAACTCGGTAATCTTCTGTGGCCGTTCTGCCATCGCCTTGCTGACTTCGCTGACAACATCAATCACTGCTTCGCTTAGGCGCTTGTTGATTGTAATCGCTAAAGCACGCCCATAAAAGAAAGCTGTCAAAATCTCCGGGCTTGAATCTGCATGATGTCAACATTTACCAGTCCCTTACTAGGTCTCCATACACAATCAGCTGAAGTTCCCTTCTGAAGGTTCCACAAGTGCCTACCAGAATTGCTCCTCCTGGCCTGAACGCAACATACAAGCTTCCTTCCTCGTGTGCATTTCGCATGCAAGAGCTGCGATGTCTGGCGTGAGCGGACTGTCAAAGAACCTTGCATTTTGCGAGCGGCCTCTATTCAGATCAATTACATCTATAGACATTTCAAAAGGAAAGGTCCTTGTTATAATTAGTATTCGTAGTTACAGCAGTACAGGCCAATGAACCAAAGATTGTAGTCTTAACTGCATCAACGGAATTATTCAATCATGACAAGCGTTGTCCCCTTTCACATGTCCTATGTCACCTATGCACAAGCTTTGTTCGATGTCGACACAATTTTAGCAGCTTGCCTTAAATTTATGCTCGTTGCCTTGGAGATGTCATAGCTTCCCATGTTTCACCGCCTCCATTCCTCTCCATCATCACAGGGGTACAAGCCCCTGGGAGGCGAAGCCATAAGCACTTCTGCATTAAGCCCAGAATTGTCGGGCCATGGGGGACACACTGACGGCTTTCAGCCGGTCTCCCGGAGCAACACAATGGTGCCGACAAAGTCATTTGGCGACCTTAAAGCTTTCCTGGGCCGTGCTCGTGGTAAGAAAACAAGGTAAGCTTGGTTATAATTCGCAAAACAAACGTTGTCATGAACCGGCTACGTCACGTGTGATGAAGAGGTTCCACTGCGATGCGTGCAAGGGCGTTCTGTGTCGGTTGATAAGTCTTTCAACTTTTTTTCGCCGTTTTGCAGGGCGATGAGATGGTTGGTACTCCGAGCGAGCGGAGAGCGTCAAGTCTTCACCCTTGATAAGCGCCAGCTTATACAGGTGTGGCTGGAGGGGGAGAAGCTGCAGGGATGCCGGGAATTCGGACCGTGGCCTCGTTATCAGCGCTGCACGGCTCGTACTAGGGGTTATCCGTTGTGGAACGCGCACAGGGCTTCATGACGCGCCCGGGGTTCCTCCCCATTCCGTCAAGAAATGAGCCGACATGGCCCATTCCTAACCTATTGCACTTGGCCCTAGAAAAACTTAGGGCTCTTGTGTTGTTCAGGAGCCGTACGAGTCCACTGGGAAGATGGGAAAATATTGGAAGGTTGCACCGCGTCGTATGCCCCTCGTCAGGGGGCCTCCTAAGGGCTAGCATACCGTCGCCTTCTGTACATGTTCCCAGCCTTACGCCTTCACATCCCCAAGCCCCACAGACACATGTCAATTTTCTCCGCAACCCAAGGTTTCAGGCAGACCAACACGGCCATGAAATCAAAGCATATAAACCTATCATGGCGTCCCACTCCTATGCAGCATCGAATATCTTCAAGCGGCAAAAACCCAAATCCCCATCGTGTCAGAACATCAACATGGCCTTGGTACTGCGACTTGTATCCATCCGGGTTCTAATTCCCGGAATTCGCGATGGCCGCCTGACCCACATCGGCGGGCACGCAGACGTGCAGGTTGGAGATCCCGATGCGCGACATGCGGCTCATGGACAGCGCATTGGGCACCGAGACCCTGGCCCAGTTGCTAGTCCGTGACAACGCACTGGTATTCAGTATGGAGCATGTACGGCTGATCATCATGCACGACAAGGTGAGGTGGACCGGCAAAAGTGCTGTGGTCAGCACGGGCCACGAGGTTCTTGCCTTGCATCGGACCGGACAGGACCTGCCCTCTGCATGGCTCCCTGCATGGAGCTGCTGCGGGTGCTAGGCCATATTTTATCAACGCAATCCAGCGGCTGCTAGCGCTGTCGGACATCACCTAGGGTGGCCTGATACCTCGAGTGGCGTCACCTGACATCACGCCACCTAAGGTTCTAAAGCTGAACTGAGCTGAGCCGGCCAAATGGAAAAGGCTGGAGCAGTGCTTGGGGCTGGGTCAGGTGGCCGACACAGCCGGGGCTGAACTTGGGAACTTTCGCGCCAGGTGGATAACGGCACACCGTAACCCTGGAAAGTTTTCGGGGCTCTATGTCCCTCCCTTCTCCTGATGAACTGCAGCAGAGACCGCACTTTTGCCGCTCCTGCTTGTTGCGTTGTGCCGCCGCGGTGCTTTGCACATTCCGCTACCACTGCAGGTGGTGGTGCCGCTGGACGACGGCGGGCTGCAGCCTCCGGCCCCGCCGTCGGCAGCACCAGAGCGGCCGACGTCGGCGGCGACGCCCGAGCTGAAAGACCGTTTCCTGAACCACTTGGAGGGGGTGGTGATGGACTGGGCGCTACAGCATGGCTCCACGATAGCTTCAACCGCTGCGCCACCACCGCTGCCGCCGCTGCCACCGACAGCGGGACCGACGACAACAGTCAGCAACGGCGGCCTGGCGCATCCGCCGGCCCTCGTATCCTTTTGCAATCAACCTACCTCGCAGCCTCCACAACAGCCGTCGCCAGCATCAGGAATCACTCCGCATCAGCAGTCTCAGCAACAGCAGCACGTTTCCGTAGCAGCGCAGTCGGGGGGTGGCGCCGCCGCCTCGGCGCAATCGCACCCGGAGCCGCACATCTGCTCGAAGGCCGTGTCGTTGCGGAACGGTGGTGGTGGTGGTCCGGCTGGCGGTGGGGCAGCGGTCCTCAGTGCTGCAGTGGCCGCAGCAGCAGCGGCTGCAGCAGCGCCGCCGTCCGTGAGTGGTCCTGGGAGTGAAACTGCATCCACGAATGCGTTCGACCCGGAGTATCAGCCGTTTGAGATGCTGGTGTTGGAGACGGCGCTTACTGAGGTGGGGTTGCTGGGGTCGGGCAGGAACGTGTGATGGAGCGGCAGCGGCATGGGACGGGCGCGTCGACGGCAAGGTGATGGGGGTAGGTTGAGAGCGTTGTCTCAAGTCTCTTGGCTCCCTTTCATATCCCTCTCCTTACTTGGCCGCCTGTCTGGTCGTCGGCTCACATGCTTTTCCCTCAGTCCTACGCGGCGGTATGGACCAATGTTTGTGCTGTTCTACCCTGTCTTGCTTTGCCCTAATGCCCCGGCGCCTGGCCTATTGTCCTGCAGATCTGCACTCACTTGTCCAGGGAGGTGGATGCGCTGCAAGTGAACTGCCAGCCGGCCCTGGAGGCGCTGATGAAGACCGCGGACACGGCCAACCTGGAGGCGGTGCGGCGGGTCAAGACGCAACACGCTCGGCTGGTGACCCGGGTGACCGCCACCAGGGAGGCGCTGGAAAGGCTGATGGGTGAGTGAGCTGGCGGAGTGGCTGACGGGGCGAGCGAGAGAGCGAGCAATTGGGTGGATGGGTAAGGGGTTGGTGATTGAGGAGTGAGTAGTGGGTGGCACACGTTGCATGTGTGTGCCTAAGGAAGGTTTCTGGCAATACGTTTTTTAACTGGCGTAGGGGTTGTTGTGTGCGTATGTTCAGGGTTTGGGTTTAATTGGCCGTAGGGTTGTCGACTACTCAAACTCGCTCTCCCCGGTTGGCCATTAGCATCCAAAGCCCCAGACAAATTATTTCCGCCGTTGCCTACGCCCACGCGGCTCAGCTATGCAACAATGAACACGTGCGCATATGCACTCATTTCGCGAGGCAGTCGAGTTTTCATGTCTATGTGACGTCAAGCTGTGCACCACTTGCGTATTACCCGGATCGCCTTCGTTCAAAGTCGGCCCGGCTCCTGCGGCAGCAGCCCGCTCTTATGATACCAGCCGCCCTATCCTCCGCCCTCGACTGCCGCGCCCGCCACTACCCCCTTGCCTTCATCATGCCGCCTCTAGCCCTCCGTATCTCCCACGGGGGTTAGGGAGCCGGTGCCCTGCTTCCCATTTCACCCATTTCTCTGCTTTCCGGATATCCCCATAACCCCATATCCTTTCGGACACAACCCGCACTCCCGCGCTCTCTTGGCTGCAGAGGATGATGATGACATGGTCCGCATGTGCCTCACCCAACAAGCACACATGCGCTTAGCGGCTGTCGCGGCCGCGGCAGCTGCAGCTCAACAGCAACAGCAGCAACATCACAGCCATCACCCAAGCTTTGCGTCTCTCATAGGCTCTATCACACCCAACCCCGCCGCCGGCCCCGCTGACCAGCAAGCGTCCCTGAATTCGCCGCCGTCGCCGCCGACGCATGCCGACGCACATCAGCTCGCCATGCTTATGGGCAGCAGCCTGCCGGCCTCTTACATGCGCCCGGCATCGCTGGCGGCGCGAGCTGTACGGCATCAGGTGGGCAAGAAGTCGGGATGCTTGGGGGAGGCGCTGGCAGAGGCGGCGGCCGTGGCGGCGGCCGCCGCGGCGGCAGTGGGACCAGGGAGCGGCGGCGTGACCGCCAGCGGCGGCCCGGGCGGTAATGAAGTTGTTGAACATGATTTCCTCGATGTTGAAAACTTGCTGGAGTCATATGCCATCATTGTGGACACGACTTATCAGACCCTGATGTCCATAGGTGGGCGGCTGGGTGGTTGGGTGAAGTGGGTTGGAGGCGTCTCAGGTCGGGATGACGGATCGACGATGGGCCCATGATCGATGGCTACGCGTGCGCCTCGATGGGCTGCATAGTGCGGTCAGTGTCCAGCGTCGAGACCGCCGCTGCTGCCGCATGGGTATACCCGCCTATAGGAAGTTAGGATATTCCTACCGACCTAGCTCTGTAAATAACGCCGGCTAGGGGGATGAGTGCTCCGTTCTCAGCGCCCTTCCTCCGTGAGCAGGCCCTGTTGGTGTTTCTTGAGCGCCAAAGCGTCGAATGGCCCCAGGGCACCCGGTTGCAACTAGCTGCCCCCTGTCCTGCGCAGGCGAGTACATCGATGACACGGAGGATCTAATCAACATCCAGCTCGACTTCAGCCGCAACAAGCTCATCCGCTTCGACATCCTGCTCACCGCAGGCACCTTTGCGCTGGCCTTCTTCAACATCGTAAGCGACATGGGGCAGCAGGAGGCCAGCGGGGTTTGCGCTGCTGGGCTCACGGTCTGTATATGTGCCTCCCAGTGCGAACATGGCCTGGCCTGGACTACGTCTTTCTCTTTGCAAACACAAACCTGCACGGTTCATGACTCTCATCTAAACGTCAAATAAACTGACGATTGTCTTAACATAGATGCATAGGAGACGTATAACGCTAGGACATGGTGTTCAGGGTCTGCGTTTGTCGCGCATGCCATGAAGATTGACGCGTATCCACATTTTGGGAAGATACGTTTTTGCCCTGCTGATGACCGGATGCTTTATGCGGTGTCTGCGGTGTCCGGTGCCAGGTGACGGGCATGCTTGGGGAGAACCTGGTACTGCCAGAGGCGATAACCCAGGTACATGCGGGTACATGGGCGGGTGGGTGGCGCGTACGAGCGCAAGAAGGATGGATGGACGGGGCCAACACACATGACATCTTTATCCTTAGGTTGTATCGTCAGGCTGGGGAAGAAGACTGGTTGGTGCGAAAGGGGGACTGATGAAGCCTCGGAAGCTGGGCTGCGTTACCAGGTGGGAAAGGGACCCTTGCTTGTGCTTGATGGGATGGGTGGGTGCTTGATGGGATGGGAATGGGTGAGCTTGATCCGGTACTGCCCGCACGCCTTGTCGACCCGCATAGCTAGCAGCCTGCCTCGCAGCCCCTTTGCTTTCCCGCTCAACGCCCGGTGGCTCTCTTTCCCTCCGGGCCAGCTTGTTTTTTTGTCATCAACCCTTATACATACACGCTGCCACTCATACATCCGCAGGACCTGTCGGGCTTCGCCTTGGTCAATATCGCCACCCTATTGTTCTGCATCACAACCTTTCTGTCTCTGGTAATGGTGTTCAAGTGGCAGAAGGTGCTGTGAGCGAGTTTGGCGGGAGCTCGCGCATCAGGAATCCGCCGAAGAAGAGAGTTTCCACCTTGGTGCCCACAAGCATTCGGCCTGTGCGAGGGCGGGACATCGAAGCACTCGCTCGAGGGATGGCTACTACGGCTGTGCAGGTGGCTGTCTGGTGCATTGCGTTGTCTGCTATGCGGGTGCTGTCGCCGCGCCGGCGACTGATTTGGTCGGCCATGGCAGCGGTGGTGCGTTTTGATGATGACGATGATGATGGTCACTGCATGACGGATGCATGGAATGGTTCGCATAGAATATGACACATTCATCGCGTAAAATGCAGGGCCTGTATGCGCGGCCTGTGTACATGTTTTTGTGCGCGTGTGCGGGGAGTACGTGGCTTTAAGGAATAAGAAATGGGAAGGAATGCACGTCTGCATGCATAAAGACTGGAGGCAGATGAGGCTGCAAGCAAAGAGGGGGAGACTTTTGCGACGCGAAACGATTTACACTCGCCGCATGACCTCTGTGTTAGCGGCTCCCGACCGCCATAACTCGAATTTGGCCAGCGCTGAAGCGACAAGGGTTTCGTTACGTGGTGGGGGTGAGAGTAGGGTGAGGGGTTGCTGTGCGCGGTGAGGCCCCTAGGTGTGTATGTTGTTTTCCATATGTTTTCCAGATGCGGATTCGGCAGATGCTTCTGGTGTGTCTCATCATTAAAAGCAGTCGCTGCGGATAGACGATGTGACTATCCATCGTATCCTGCTGCGTCCCTTTGTCTGCCAGCAGGCGCACCGATAAACAGGTACGGCCGCACGGATGGACGGGTAAATGCAGTGAATGCGACCGTACTCTAGTTTGAAGAGCGTCACGAGCAGTATGCGGCAGGTCAATAATATGAGAAGAGAGGGCAGGTCAATAAGTGAACGTACGAGGATACGACCGGGCGGACGCGTGCACTTCGCTTCTGAATTTGTTGTCCAGGCAGATTTTGACAATGGATACATGCAGAGCTGTTCCGAAGCAACAGCAATGAGGCGACATGGATGGCATGCTGGGATGCCGTTAATTCATGTTATGGCGAATGTTTTAGTGAGGCTGGATAAATTAGAGGCGGGCTGTGTATGTGTCGTCGGTTAGAGCAGTATTAGGCATTATGGAAGAGATCGGGGCAGGGGCAAGGCATTGGCCGAGCGGGGTTGCGTTTCCCCGTGTTAGTATCTTCCAAAAGGGGAGCGCCTGCCTCACATCAGAACTTTACTAGTCAGGTCAATCCTGCGTAGTGGTAGATATCATGGCAGCATCAAGTACTGGTGTAAGTCGTTGGGTATGCAACATTCCTAGGTACCCAGGGGATCTTCTTCCCTCGTTTAGGTCCAATCCGTCCGACCACCCCTCCCACGCGTTTCTGTTGCACGACTCCACGATCGCAGCGGTGGAAGCCTCCAACTGCAACCCTCCGCGTGTACTTGTCCTAAATCCCAGGCCTCTACGGGATAGCCGCAGTGCGCAACCTGAGACACGTCCTACAGCTGCATATGTAACTCTGCCCATCCGCACAGCATAAGCCCTCAGGCCCTTCGCGGCTAGGGAGGATTAAACTAGTAATGTTGTGTTTGGTGTCGAGGGGATTTCGCGGATTTCATGTCGACCATTCGTGAAGTATCATCCCTCGCCGCTTGGCATGATCCCAATCCTTCTAGTCCCACCACGCCAGCTACGAATGCTTGCCACACCTGCGCGGCCCGGTATATAAGCAGCTAGCTACGCACACGCTGCTCGTTCTGCTGGTCGTTTTCAAACTGACCTGAACTGACCGTACACGCACCTCAATGTCTTCGTGGGACTGGAACCCACAAACGTCCCATCCAGGGCGGACAGGCGGGCCCCCACGTTACAGGGCCCTTCATAACTTCAGAGTCGTTGAGCAGACACTACATACGGACCAATAATTAGAACAACCAGCACTGCGAACTTTGTTGCGTGCACCTACCGCCCGCACCTGCTCTTCAATGAAGACCTGTGACATGTGGGGGAACAGAAAGAGGAACCACACGCTGCGTCAGTCCCCGTCCATCTGCTTGACCGCCGCAGCAAAAAAGCCGACGATGGCCCAGTCAAGCGTTCGAAAGGCGCAGTCTGGTGCGACCCACAGGCCGGCTGTACACGCAACCCTCACTCGGCACAAACAGCTATCACCGCCTGAGCACGGCAACACAGACACTCCCACGTACGGGAAATCCGAGGTGCGCCAGCGGCACTCAAACCGACCTTCCAGCAGCTTTTGCCGCTAAGGCAGGCTCCTAAACACGCGACAGGGAGAGGTAGGGGCAACGTGACGGTGTACAAAGAGTGGCCGAGAGGTGCCAGTTGCGCCCCGCGGCCTGTCAATCAATTATCCGAACTACTGCAATCTAGCGGGACTACGAATAGGGCGGGTCGGGGGAGTAAGAGCAAAACAGAGCTCCTGATAGTGTAAGGCAGAATGCCCAACTACAAGGGCATTCTATCATTTATGGTCTCACTTGCGATAGGAAAATGAACAAAAAGAGGTTTGGTGGAGTCTCACGGTTGATGTGGTGCCGATGTTAGGAAGTTCCCATCTCAGGATGTCGCGGCCAGCAGTGTGTGGTTGTGGAGGTTACCTAGTACACTCCCTGGGAGGTGTATCCCCTCGCTGTCATCACTTCTGGGCCTGTCCGGTGGCACAGACAGTAGCGGATCAACTCACTCTGTCAATAGGATTGCCAGTGTCACGAGAACGACTTTGGCTTGTTCAAGTCCCACAAACAGTGCAACAATGTGTTTCTTGCTGCGGTGTCAGCTATGGAGCATGGGAGACGATATATGGCTGCAGCCATGAACACTAACCCGGCGCTGTTACCTGGCCCTTGCCTTACGGAAGGAGCCATTCATCGAGTTGTTGTTGACTTTTACGGCCGCTTTCGGGGTTTCGCAGCTCTGGGAGTCCAACGGAAAGGATGGGATTCTGTTGGGGCACATCACCCCTTCTTGCCAAATGTGTCAGATATGTCTCTGGTAGGCCTTCTGGTGGGGTTCCGAGGACTTCGGGGAGTGTAATGGCAGATTCCCCAGTGGTTGCGAGACTTTCCACCGACCGTCGTGACGTGGCTGAAGCGCTACTGCACAACATAATGATTTTCGGTACGGCTCAGTGCGGCCCCAGTGGGTTCAAGCGGCATTGTGAAAGGGCAACAAACACGCGTCGAACATTTTTTGCTTGGATGGAGGTTTGGAAATTCGCATCCATGGACAAGCTCAGTTCAACGATTACAGAGTGCCATCGTCTCAAGATTGACGTTTGGGGGATGTTTAGGTGTCGCGAAATGCCGGAAAGGAGACGGGCCCAGTTTTCCAAGCCGGTGGTTGTTGTTTCATCGTGGCCATCTTGCTGCTTCTGGAGCTTGCACAGCCCAGACGAGCGAAGAGGCCCATGAGCAATCCTAGGCAGGAATTGTCTAAAATTAATATATTTGGAAGAGACCAACAAGACAACAACCTCATTAATCCGAAAACAGCTTGTTGAGCGAGGATGCGCGATCCGTCGCTGACCGTGTATGCATGCCAAGTATGACCGCGGCGCAGTACGGCCTTTGGCTTAAACCAACCCGCGAATCCTTTCCCACGCATATATGAGGACAGGCCTGAGCTCGTCACACAGCGCGTGAGGCGGCGAGGTCAGCTCTGAGCTTGATTCCCTGACGTGGAATGACGTGTTTCCTTAAGGGCCCCTTGACATGCGCTCGTAGCTTTTGACACGGTCGTGACAGCCCTGGAGCGCTACTAAACAAACTCGCTCCGGAACCCATCTCCCATTCGCAGTATGGATGGGGCCAACGCAGGTACCTCGTCATACACCTCCATCCTCGGAATCCATCTGGCAAACAAAATGCGAATCATTGTTCCCACGTCTGTGCTTATCTATCCACCAGGCGCCGTAAGGCAAAGAAAGAAAGGTTGACACTGGCGGGTGCCCCGCTTGCGCGGAAGCTGGCCTGAAAGGCTGAGCTCACCCAAGCCAGCTATTACCCCCCAACCCCCCCCGGGGCAATGAAACCACTTGAGGACAAGTGTCTTACGAGTGATGCCTTTTCGTAAGACCTTGAGGACTAGGGAAATCTTTGACTGATCCTGCAGTCAATGTGAACTGAACGGCATTGGGGAAAAGAGCATCGAGCATTGAGGCCCATGCGATAAAGCATTGAGGTGCATGCACGCCGTACTGTGGGTCGCAGAACTGTATCCGCTGCTTGCGTGTCGAACAAGCGCCTGTAGGCCTCAGAAATGAGCCCGAACTCGTTACACTGCATGTAAAGGTGCCCAACATGTCGCTCGTGCACATTGCCCTCTGTACGGCGCTGTGTTACATTCCGTGTAGAACCCCCGTGAGATCTCGCCTATGCCCCACAGGGTCACAGCTCACGACACAGTACGACTGTGCGCTCCCCCTGCAGCAAAGCCCTGGTAAACCTTGTCCTCCTCCCCTTTCCCTTCCCTTCCCCCGAGCGACATATCTTGTGTGTTTTAATAATTTGAGCCGCGAGGGAAAAATGCCGATGGTGGTAAGGTGGTGTATCTGTATGTATCTCTGTGTCTGTGTCTGTCTGTGTGTGTGTGTGTGTGTGTGTGTCTCTCGCTAAGCCCTCCCCATCAATGTCATCACCAGCTCGCCAGCTCGTTCGCTTAGCCTTCATCTCACCGTGCACGCGCTCCCAACACAAACCAAACAAACTCCATCCATTGCAAGGCCGAAGTGAACCCAACGAACACTTTGAATGACATGTACTGACTGACTGACTGACATACACGAACCCTGGTCGACTGACAGCAAACCCTCCCCAGTTTCTCACTCGCTCGCTCGCTCGCTTGCTCAATCGCTTCCTCGCCCACTCGCTCGCTCGAACGTTCGCTCGCTTGCTTGTAAACCGTGTACGGTCGCTAACGGCTGTACGACAGCATTGAACGCGCGCAAGGGCATGAACGCGGCCGCTGAGGTTAGATAACAGTTGGTAACCACAACGACACAACGGTTCCTAATCGCTTCAAAAATTTGCAAACTAACCGACTTCTGGGCGCATGCGCCTCTAGTTCTACCCCACGGCTTACCCTTGTTATCACCACCAACTACCATAACTACCATCAACTACCAAAGACCGCCTCCATCGCCACAACCACCCACCCATTCACTCACCGACATCAAACTCCCCTCTTGGTGGCTCAGGCTGCAGTTTGTTATCCCTCTCCCCCCCACCTCTCATTTTGACAGCGTGTACCAGGGCGGCCCACACACAAACAATACATACATACATACATACATACATACATACATACATACATACATACATACATACATACATACATACATACATACATACATACATACATACATACATACATACATACATACATACATACATACATACATACATACATACATACATACATACATACATACATACATACATACATACATACATACATACATACATATATATGTGCGTACACACACCTCGTCTCGCAGCATTAACCTCACTCAACCAAACCGGAAGGTAAAGTGCATTCCCGGGTTGAAGCCATTCCACTGCTGCTCCATGTGAGCATGCTCGTCCAGGTCCTGGCCATTGTCGTATGCCGTACGTTTTTGCTCGTCCGACAGCACCTCGTACGCCTCGGCAATCTCGCGGAACTGCGTCTCCGCCGCGGGGCGCTCCTCCGCGGACACCTGAGTGCGTGTGGAGGAGTGGTGGTGGCGGTGGTGGCGGTGATGGTGGTGATGGTGGTGGTGATGGTGATGGTGACGGTGATGGTGCACATACGACGGAAGGGAGGAGGAGGGGAGGGAGGGGGAAAGTCAACACGGTCCGGAAACTGTTTGTTCTTCATGCGGCGCCCCAGTAAGAGAGCCACAGTAAACCCCAACTCCCCGGCCTTCCATGGCCCCTTCCCCCGCCTTCATCCCCACCCTTCCGCCACTCCTCCCAAACACACACACACACACACACACACACACACACACACACGGGAGAGCGCGTAGGCGGTCTTTCCGTTGGGGCTGGGCAGCAGCCCCTGGCCAGTGCCAGGCCCGGTCAGATACTTGCAACATATGCACACACATACATACACTCGCACACACACGCCCCCACACATACACTCGCGCACTGTGCACCACCCGCACCACCTTGTCGGGGTGGTACTTCTTGGCCAGCTCGCGGTACGCCTTCTTGATGTCCCGGTCCGCGGCGGACTTGTCGACACCCTGACAACATGGTGTAGCACATGAGGCCATTAACAACAGGTCATTGACAACAGGTCATTAACAACAGCAACAACAGCAGCAAGCGACAGGACCTGTCGCGACATCGTTCCATCCAATACGAACCAACACCAAGACCAACACCAAGACCAGCTCAAGAGAGAGACAGGGGGAAAGATTTAAAACGAAGACGTTGTTAAGGAT